GAATTGAGGCTCGTCCTGGGGACTAAGTGAGTGAAGGTGTACATAAATAGATTTTGAATTCATTATATGCATATTTGATGCATTAAGTTATTTTAAAAACATTGTGGGCAGTTCTGCTAGAATCGTTTGAAGGCCAGAGGCCATTTGTGTAAATTGCATGAGATTATATTGTGCGTGCGGCCGATTGGGTTATAAAATGTGTTTTATGCAGGTGGAAATTTGGGGAAATGTTCAATTTATAGGGGAAACTCTGTCGAAATTTCGGCAGAAAGTCTCGTGCCATTAATCCTCTTTGGTAAACGAGGACATAGTTCTAAGAAGTGAACCCGGCGTGGGTGTGATGCCGGGGTCTGCGCAAGGTTCGTCTTGGGTTCTGGGAAATTCGGGACGGGTCCTGTCATTTAATTTTGGCATGGGCTAGTAGACCCAGTATATTTTATCTCAACTCTTAGCGAATTTATTTATTTAGCATGGCACATGAACTATAATTCGCATGTGATGGATTTTTGTGTACTCTTCTTTACGCTTTTTCTTAATGGACTGTCGTTTCGGGCTGATAATTTATTCGGGTCCAATCATGAATTTTTTGGATCTCAACAGTAACAAAGCAAAAGAAAAGACTGGTCTTAGAGCTCGTTTGGGAGTGCTTTTGGAGCAGTGAAAAGTGCTTCTAAATGGGTGGAAGTGCTTCTGTCTTTTGAAAATGGTGTTTGGCAAAAATTGCAAAAGAGCTTTGGGTGAGATCCAAAAGCACCTTGAGTGGTTTTGGAGGAAGCACTTGAGAGGTGCTGCTTCTTAAAAGTGCTGCAGGACAAAAACAAGGGAAGCACTTAGTTCCTTTTAATTAAACTTTTAAAATGCCAAAAATACCCATATTTTTTTTTTTGAAATGCCAAAATAGCATTTCTTTCCTTTTCTTCTGGCACGTTCTATTGAAATAGGATTAAGGATTTAAAAAATAAACTGAGACGATCGAAAACCCACCACGACCCTCAAACTTGGAACGCATTTCCTTCATCCCTCACCCATGTTTCGTAGAGTAATAATCCTCATCTACTCACTGCATAATAGTAAGGGGGCAAACAGACTTAGCATCACCAATTGTAGAAAATGGAAGAGGATCCACTTTTCCATTGATCGATTATACTAATTCAGTTCTGTATTTCGTACAAAAAGGTTTGAGGTTTTCTTTTGTTTTTCTAGGTTCGTTTCTTCCTTTGTGATGTCGAAAATTGAGAAGTAAATCATATGGTTTGTTGTCACATCCCGAATCGACTGCGCTGTAGCACAATATTGTCTGCTTTGGGCCCATTGCCTTTACGGTTTTGTTTCTGGGAACTCACGAGAAACCTCCTAGTGGGCTACCCATCCTAGGATTGCTCTAGCCTATCTCGCTTAACTTCAGAGTTCCCATGACTCCGAAGCCAATGAGCTCCCAAAAGGCCTCGTGCTAAATGAAGATGGGCACAAATGTACATATAAAGCACATCACCCCCTCTCCATTGGTCGATGTAGGATGTTACAATCCACCATCCTTAGGAGCCTAACGTCCTTGTCGGCACACTCACACCACACAGCAGAATGGCTTACCATTCTGTCACATCTCGGATTAGCTGCGCCGTAGCACGATATTGTCCGTTTTGGGCCCCTTGCCCTCACGGTTTTGTTTCTGGAAACTCGTGAGCAACTTCCCAGTGGGTCACCCATCCTGAGATTGCTCTAGCTCAAACTCGCTTAACTTCGGAGTTCCCATGACTCCGAAGCCAGTGAGCTCCCAAAATGCCTTGTGCTAGATAGAGGTGGGCATGTACATAAAAGGCACATCACCCATTCTACGTTGGTCGATGTGGAATGTTACATTCGTTGTGACAAGGAGGAAGATCGAAGGAAAAAGAACTTGGGCAATCAGTATAGGAACCATAAGTCTGCTCATCAATATGGTAGTTCATGTCTTTGTGTGGCTGATTTTCTCTTTGCATGTGTATATTTTATTTCATAAATTTGGTATAAAATTATGGTATGATTTTGTGTGCTCATTTATTTATTTATTTATTTATTTTGGTTGATTTATAGTATTTGCAAGATGTTGCAGTGTATGCGAGAGTCAAGAAGAGGCTGTGAGCATGACGAGATTCTTGGCAGGCTAGAAAAGGTTGAAAATGGTTTTTCTTTTTCTTCCTGTTTTTGTAACTCTAATATTATGTTTTTGGCAGACATCTATTTAAATACAATTCTGAAAAAATATTTATGAAACAAATATTGCATAGGGGCAATTGATGGTACACAAATCCTAGTAATCATGCTTAGAGAAAGACAAGTACCATATATTGGAAGAAAACATATCACTACTCGAAATGTTTATTACAATATTTTTAAAGTACTTTTGAATTTGGGATTCTTTAGGTGAAATTACATGTAGAATAACTAAGAATGCCTAGAGGGGGGCTGAATAGGCCAATTTAAAATTATAATAAATAAATAAAAATAAACTTCAGTAACATGATTGATATATCAATCTTGAAACATGTTGAGCATAAAATAAAGGAACATGCAACGAATTATTCTATGTGTAACGATTCGGTCCAAAATAAATTGGTAATTATTAATTTATTAAGATAAAATACCATTTTGCCCCTAAAATATTTTATTAGGTTTAAAGTCGACTTCTTGACCGGGAAGGAATTTGGGAATTTCAACTGTACTGTTGCGTAGAGCAAGGCGAGATGAGCCCGTAGACACGTAGTGTGGCCGAATTGGAGTTGTAACGAAAAAGATATTATCAAAATACCCTCAATGGCATAATCATAGTTTTTGTGAAAAGGGTTTGATAAAATCTGATTCTCTCTCTCTCTCTCTCTCTCTCTCTCTCCGTGCGCAGCCTCTCCCTCTCCTCGCGACAACAACCACAGCTGGCCAGCTTTTGGCCGACGATTCTCTCATCCGGCCACCAAAGTTAACGGGGTTGGTACCAAAATGACCGAGCCACCATTCTCTTCCAACCCCAGCCAAGCCCCGCTGCCAGCCGCCGTGATTTTGCTGAAAAATCGAATAGAAACGGCCGATTTTTTGCTCGAATTTCTCCGACTTTGTTCTCCGTCATCCGGCCACCAATTCCGGTGAGTGATGTATGTTTTCTCACCTATTTTTCATGATCCAGCTGATGGTTGGGTAGGTTTTCATCAATTCTGAGCCTAGGTAGCTTGATTTTCAAATTGAATTTCGACTAGTTTTGGGATTGCGATTTGGCCACTTCCGGTCACTTTTTGGGATAGGTCCGAGAACAAAAGTAGTTTCAATTACGGTGTTACACCTAGGATAGAAGTCCTAAGCCGTGATTTTGAGATTTTCCGACGAAGCGTAATCGCTTTGGACACCCACGCATTGCCGGCGCGTGGGCACTTTAGAAAAAGGGCATTGTGCCCCGACGTAATCTTCTGGTCCTCACGAGTGCGTAGGTGTGCTCGGATTTCAATTTGGATACTGTTTTAGTCTCGAACAGATTTCGCCTTTTGTGCATTATCCGAGTTCGATAAGTTTGAACCGTTGGATAGTCTTGAATTTAATATATGTCAATTTAGACATTCCTAGGATCGTGTAGGAATTCACGGATCATGGATTTGAGCCTCGGTTTATTTTAAGTGGGTCCGGCATCGGTGTGATGTCGGAATTTCCACAGGATTCGTCTCGGATTTCAAAGAATTCGGGGCAGGTCCTGTCATTACGTGGTAAAACCCCACCTTTTCTAGACCAGCTCGTAGACTTCCCCAAGACATCTGCTGCATCATCAAAAGAAACAACAAATTGTTTCTTCCCTTGTGGAACCCACATACCCATATTCTTCATTTTCTTCTATTTTAATTTTTTTTGTTTCCATGTGGCTGACTTCTCTCTTTGGATATGCAGATTAAGGAGGTGCCTTGCCATGGGCCATATTGAGAGCTTTGAGATTCCTTTGTTTGTTGAGAAAGCAATTTGTCTTCTTGTTTCATAAACCAAAGACAAAGCTTGGTTGGGTATTTGCTTTTGCCTATTCTTCTTTTCTTGTCTCCTCGTATTTGCTTATTTTTCAGTGTTACTCCACCGAATATGTTTTCTTTCTTCAATGATAGTCCACCAAATTTGTTTCCATTTTTCAGTGATCATTTACCGAATCCGTTATTGAGTGTGTACTTAATATTATTATTTTTAGATATGAAGAGGACTCACAGAGGTACTACTGAGGCTTCATCATCTCGACCTGATAGACAGTGTCCCACAGCCTCATCAAGGAGATAGAGAGCGGCTCCCCAAGATCACTTTGATGATACGACAGAGGTTGAAGATGTAGCTCCTACTCTTGATAGTAATGTTGACACAGAGGTTGAAGATGTAGCTGCTACTCTGTAGGTACTATGTGGGGTGCAGTGAGCAATTTTAATTTTAATTTTAAATTTTTTTGTCCTGAATAGTAATTATGTACAAGGGTAGAATAGGCTATTCATGTTTAAAATTAATATGAGGTAGAGCAAATAATGGGGTGTCAATAAAATCTCCCTTTTAATTTACTTGAGCAAGCAAAAAGCAGTTACCAATTTCTTAAATTGAATTTGATACCAAAGTAAGGTTGTTCTATTTAAATCCCCATGCCGATTTTCCAACTTTGTTCACCTCTTAGTGCCCGTTTGGTATTGCTTATTTGGGGTTATAAGTAATTCTTAAAAAAATTTGAGAACCCAGCCCGATTCGTAAATTATGATAAAATCACTATTTTAAAAAATTGGTGTGAGAGAAAGCTATAAGGAAAAGCAGCTAATGAAATGTTTTCATTTTCTGATTATATGGGAATCAGTTTCGAAGAAACGCTAGATTATGATTATATGGGAATTAGTACCAACAACACTCTTAACAAAAAGTTTACTAAAAGCCAAACTGTTTTCTCTCACAGCAAATCTAACGGCGATTATTTTCACAGCGGGCTGAAACTTCAATGGCTCTGGACAAGACTACATTCGAAACCATAACCCCATCTCGTTTCATCACCTTCACTTTTCCCAACCCCTTCATCTCACCCACCCTCCTCCACGTCGCCGTCCTCGACACACCTTTTCAACTCACCAGCTCACCCCCAGTCGCCGCCATGCTCGTCCCCAAACAACGGTAGTCCGACTGGATCTTCTCCACCGAGTCCGGTCACCTCCAGCTCCTGCTCAGTTCTCCCAGGATCTCCCGCCTAATCCTCACTGGCAACCAGCCCATTAACGGTCACGGTTCACCGGTAATTTACCACCGTCCGGCTAGAAACGACTCGTCGTGTGATGGCGAACTCGGGGTGAGTTTGAGACCTCTTTTCCTTGCTTTATCTCCTAAGTCTTGCTTCAAACATGGCACTCTTGAGATACCCATTTTGAGTTATGAGGATAATGTGATTTGTAGTGTGGTTTTGGAGAGGTGTGTTGGGTCTTTGGTTGGTGAAATGGTGGTGGAAGATGTGGAGATTGAGAGTGGTGGTGAGGCTTCAAAGAGGGAGTTCAGGAGGCGTTTGAGGTTTAAAAGAGTGCCCAATTTGGTTCAAACGGAGGTACGTATTGTTCCCAACACGGGTTTTGGCTTTGATTATGTGGAAATCGGAGAAGTCGAGTTTAGGCTGGATAATAGTATTTTAGTGCACCCTTATTTGGTTCCTATGTTGGCAAGTCTTCAGTTGATTGCTTCTTATATTGAGGGACGGATTCGAAGTGGGTTTAGGCCGAAAGCTTTGTGTTTAGGAGTTGGAGGTGGAGCTTTGCTTGGATTTTTAAAAGCCGAACTGGGATTTCAGGTTGTGGGTGTGGAGGCGGACAAGGAAGTTTTAAGAGTTGCTACGAAGTATTTTGGACTGGAAGATGGTGGTGAGCATGTCAATGTTTGCGTTGGAGATGCAATAAAAGTTATTGAGAAACTTGCGGGTCGAGGTAATGGACAAAGTTCGGGTTCTTTTGGTGCTCATGAGATAGAAGTTGGTTGTGGGATGGGTGATGGCAATGACATTGATACTAAATTTGATGTAGTGCTAGTTGATTTAGATTCAAGTGATGCTGGAGATGGTATAATTGCTCTGCCATTTGAGTTTGTTAGGAAGCATGTCCTTTTGGCTGCCAGATCAGTTCTTTGTGATAATGGGATCCTCGTATAAATGTTATCCTCCAAATAGATCATTTTACACAACATTGATACAGGAGTTCAGAGAAGTTTTCCACGAGTTATATGAAATCAATGTTGGAAATGGGGAAAAATTTATTCTTATTGCTCTTGTGTCCCCTGTTACATCTTCTACTAGTGATTGTGAGAAGTGCTTCCTTAATAAACTAAGAATGATTATATCAGGAGCATACATGAATTCCATAAAGAAGATCTGAGATGGGGTGCAAAGAGAAGGTGGGATAATCAACCCCTTGGGATCCAACTGTTTTTTATCACCCCGCTTCTGGATGGATTGGGAGAGGGAATGCGAACATAAGATAGCATTGTCTTCTCAATTTTATACCTATTTGTTTTATCACAAACCAATTAGAATTATGATAAGAATAATAAAATAACTTTTCTAGGATAGCTTGCATCTGAACTTTCCACTGTACCAAACAACTCAAGGGATGAAGAATCCCCACCATACCTGCGTACTGTTCATCCTTCCACTTTCCATTCCCCTCATTTAGCATAGTGTAAAGGTCTATGGGTCAGGGAAGTTTAATTGTGGGCCCTCGTATCCAGAATTTAGGTAAGCTTTGAAGGTAGTTTGGAAATTATGGTCCTCTTATGGGTACTAGGCTGAAAGGGGAAAAAAAACTATATTTACATGATTCAAGTAAACTTGTAATTTCAGTCATGGATTTTATTCTTTAAAAGGAAGACTGGCTTCTGAAACTGTAGATTGAAATTAACTTATCTAGTTAATGTAGAAGTATCTTCTGCTTGCTGTTGCTTTAAGAGTAATTGTGATGATAATTATGTACCGTAATAGTGATTCAGATATTAGCGGAAATCTGATCTTTCAATCTTTTTCAGGTAAGAGGTAGATTGGGATAGCATGCTGGAGAGGGGTTTTGCAGAAATGGCAAAGAGTTTAGTGGTGGTGAGGCTGCCACGAAAACTTGGGCAACACCACAGTTGGTGGCATCGAATGTGGATGTCGTCCTGGCAAAGAGTTGGATTAAGGAAAATGACCTCAACTGGACTTGTTTTCTCCTTGTCTAGTGATTACAAGGTAAATGAAATGAACTGTTTCTCTCTTTTATCTTTGTTATATTTTACTCCAGTGACACTTGTAGTGGTGAGGGAACTCTTTGAATTTAGTTTTCATCTAAATCAATTGATTTACTGCAAGTTCCACGTTTCTACAGGAATGGTTCACATATGATCTTAACATCATTTCTGTGCAAAGCCTGATGGTCATAAAATAGTTTGGGTATTATGTCTTAGGAGGTCTTGCTACTTAGAGGTTTATTGGTGATTTCAAAGATTTCCATACATAATCAGAAGTTTAGATATACATACATTGAATTTGTGCCTTTTTTTTTCTTTTTTTTTTCTTTTAAAAGGGAATTCTGGAAGTCTGGTACTCTGCATTGATAAGTGACTTCATCAATGTCATTACAATGTAGAAAGTAAGGCCAACTAAATTTTAAAGGTTGACTGACTTCGATTGATAGCTCGCGGCTATTTAAGTTCAGAAATTTTGGTGGCCAGTCAACTCAGTTTTCCAATAATTGGCTTAAGATTTTTTTGTTAATAGCATATCCAAAATTAGTAAAGTTCCAACTTACAACAGTCTTAGAGATGGTTTAGTTCAGCTAATGTTGGTAGCCAATTAGATGAAGAAAGAATGGAAATTCAGGAGATACTTGGCTACACGAGTGTATTAAAATAAAGTGGTTTGGACATTTCCTCTATAATTTTCTGATTTGCTGCAACAGTTAAATAAAGACCTCCTTTTGTTAACAGTGACATTTCAGTTCCTTGATGTTGTAGTTTCTCAGAGCTTGTTCCCATGTGCGACACAAGGTCTATGTCTCGCTGTATACTCACCTTAATCCTTAAATAATAAATGCAGTTTCTTTCAGTGTTTTCTCGATCAGTAATTTTTAGTCTTGCTTTCTCCAGTCTCCCAGCGTGGAAGGGTAACCAGGGAAACTCTCTGTCATTCAATGGGAAAACTTGGATCGATAGTGATGGTACCACTTTGCAGGTTCACTAGTTGAACCCAGTTGGAGATCATAACTTGGTCAGAAGCCCTTGAACCATTCAACTTACATATTGAAGCAAAGGATAAGAGGCAAACCCATGCAAGGTAGAAAACTGTGATATAAGACTTGGACGAAAATTCACTGGTTACCTTTCTAGTTAGTTATTTATTTGCTCATATCAATTAGTGCAACCAGCATCTTAAAACCGATTTCTTGCTTTCTAGAAAGTTGCTGATGTTTCATCCTTCCAACCCCACTACCTCCCGACATTATTTCTGTCAACATGTAACAACTAACAACTGAAAATCAAATACTGTAAGAAAAAAGTTCACAAAACTGGTCTAATTTAAAATGGGAAGCTTGGAACCTTGAAAATTTCAAGGATCATGATCATGATGAAGAAAGCTTCATACCTCGATTGGGCAGTATGTAAGTTTAAATCATGTCGTGCCTCAGTTCGTTCTCTGTCATGATTTTAGGACAACTATTCATTCTTTATCTGATCCGCAGCAATATTCAATGAGAGCATATGCTGGAGGCATATGGGATGCCGAGTATTGGGCTAGTGCCAAAGCACATGCTTCAGTCAGAAACACACTGAGCACTACATACATGCTCGGGACCATAAGAGCATCCCTATCACTAAGTTTATGTTAGGTTCATAGGTTCATGGGTTCATAGGAGCACTCCTATTACTCAATGTAGTGCTAGGGTCATAGGAACACCTCGTTCACAAAACTGTTCTCAAACATGAATACAATCAAATAGCACCACATGCCTTATTGTGATTGTTGTTTGTTTTTCGTTTCTAATTATCCCAGGACATTGCAGGCACATATTGTTGAGGAAGAATAGTTACACTTCCCGTGAGTAGAAAACAGAACCAATGGAATTATGAATTTTACATACATAAGTACATAGACATATATAAGTACACATGTTACTCCAACTCAGGAATCACTTCTAACTGAATGTTAAGATTTCTTGCAGGCCTACTCGCATTTGTTTGTGTGGCACCTGTAGAGGCAAAAGGATTGGGAGGCACGGTTAGGTTTTCTCCTTTTTCCAGCATCTGAACCACAGCTTTCATTGAAGGACGATTGACTGGATACCATTGGATGCACCAGAGTCCTACAATTGCAAGTTTGTTTGGAATTTTACCATCTCCTTCTTCACCCATATGGATTGATAGGTCATCTCCCTCTTCTAGAAGATTATAAATCCATTCAGGGTAGTAAATTTCATTTGTGTTCTCTGTGGGTGAACTGACATTCGTCCTTCCTCCTACTATCTCAAGCAGTAGCATTCCAAAACTACACACATCTGACTTATAGGACACATTTCCAAAGTTCCTGGAGAACACTTCAGGTGCAATGTAGCCCATGGTCCCCCTAGCTGTAGTCATTGACACTGCTTTGATCCTTGGAACATAACTTCGCCAAACCAAAGTCTGATATCTTTGGAGTGAAGTTGTGGTCTATCAAAACATTACAAGGTTTGATATCAAAATGGAGAATTCGCCGATCACATCCTTGGTGAAGATATTCAATGCCTCTGGCTATGCCTATGGCAATATCTTGCAACTTATCCCAACCACAGAACCCATTCTTGTTGCCCACTGATGAAATGTAATCTTGCAGTGAACCATTGGAGAAGAACTCATAAAGAAGAGCTCTTCTAAATCCATCAGCACAGAAGCCAACCAAGCGAACCACGTTGACATGGTGGATATGGCCCATTGTTCCCACTTCATTTATGAACTCTTCCCCGTTTCCGTTAGAACTATTGAGGACCTTCACAGCAACGAAGATTTCAGAAGAAAGCTTTCCTTTATAAACAGTTCCGTAGGCTCCTTCGCCTAACTTGTCCGTGAACTGATTTGTAATCCTCTTAATATCTGCATGGAATATCTATACTTGGTTTGAAGACCTTGTAATCCTCTAGAAATCTTTCAATTTTTAATCGATTCTCGTTTTCCTTTATATCATAGCTATAGACCTGATAGACTGCAACAACCAGTAGTAAGAGGACGAATGAACCCAGGGTTGCACCTACAAAACAATCATTAAAAAGTAGATATATATCCCCAGTCTTCTAGACATGACAGCAAAATAATCAGTTAGGTGACTCACTGGTAGCCGCTAATTTCGTTGCTGCACCTGTAAAAGATAATGACACAACTCAGATCGTCATGTTTGTGAAATTCATTTATACATATTGCCTCCTGGGCAACATCCCCTGAATAATTGCCGGCACTTTACAAGATGTATAAAAATTTGAGCAGGAAATATGTGAAGCAAAATATGTACTATTGCCTTACTTGCTTTCTTCAAGTCAACACATTCAATTTCAACTCTGGTGCCATTGTTCTTCAGCATACACTTCTTGCCTCCTGCTTCACATTCTGTGCAATTTGGTGGAGACCATCTCAAAACACTAAGAGATCTGTCTGAATTTGAAACTGGAACTGATAAAACATTATGCATCTTTGTGCAAGACTGGAGGTTATCAATTTCGTAGTTATCATAAACGGCATAGATTTGATTGCCAAGGTTGCTGTGGCAGGGGCCATTTAGAACCTGATCATTATATGGCCGTCTTTCAAGAACAGAAGAACAATTGAATAAGGTAATGTTCATGGACTCTTTTGAAAAGTGGAAAGGGAAGATTGACATGTTGAGGATTTCTGAAACTTTTACTAGCAGGCAATTATCTGAGTCGTACAGAGAGATTTGCTGATGCTCATAATCTATGCTTTTAACACAGAGTTTGACTAGAATTGGCAGCTCAAGAACCGTCTGATGTCTCTCATTGCAAGACACAGCAAACCCACGATAGCCACAGTGATCTGGTTGCCTATCTTTGAGGCTGAAAGGGAAATGGATAGGCGGGCCTTTATCCCCACACTTCAATTCTTTGCAGGTATTTTGTGTTTCTCCAAGAACTTTGGAGAAAGCCATTAACAAAATGCAACAGGAAGAGATGAGTATTTGCTGCATTTCTGAGGTGTTAATGCCCATGGAAATCTTCTAAGCATAAAAAAAAAAAGGGTCGTATCTGTGTCTGATATAATTGGATGGATTGTTTGGCCAATAAATCTGACCGTTTTTCAACTGACCAATCAAGTTACGGTGCTATATAATATGACAGTTCTAAATCTTATTGGAATGGCTTTGTTAATTATTATTCCCTATTTACTGCTATTCACACCTCCTCCCTATTTGTTATGAGAAATTATTGTATGGTACTGGAATACGGTTACATAATACTATAATTCGTTCATGTGTTATAATATGGGTGGTTGATATGGTTGATATTAATCAATAAATAACCGGATTGGGAGGCACGGTTAGGTTTTCTCCTTTTTCCAGCATCTGAACCACAGCTTTCATTGAAGGACGATTGACTGGATACCATTGGATGCACCAGAGTCCTACAATTGCAAGTTTGTTTGGAATTTTACCATCTCCTTCTTCACCCATATGGATTGATAGGTCATCTCCCTCTTCTAGAAGATTATAAATCCATTCAGGGTAGTAAATTTCATTTGTGTTCTCTGTGGGTGAACTGACATTCGTCCTTCCTCCTACTATCTCAAGCAGTAGCATTCCAAAACTACACACATCTGACTTATAGGACACATTTCCAAAGTTCCTGGAGAACACTTCAGGTGCAATGTAGCCCATGGTCCCCCTAGCTGTAGTCATTGACACTGCTTTGATCCTTGGAACATAACTTCGCCAAACCAAAGTCTGATATCTTTGGAGTGAAGTTGTGGTCTATCAAAACATTACAAGGTTTGATATCAAAATGGAGAATTCGCCGATCACATCCTTGGTGAAGATATTCAATGCCTCTGGCTATGCCTATGGCAATATCTTGCAACTTATCCCAACCACAGAACCCATTCTTGTTGCCCACTGATGAAATGTAATCTTGCAGTGAACCATTGGAGAAGAACTCATAAAGAAGAGCTCTTCTAAATCCATCAGCACAGAAGCCAACCAAGCGAACCACGTTGACATGGTGGATATGGCCCATTGTTCCCACTTCATTTATGAACTCTTCCCCGTTTCCGTTAGAACTATTGAGGACCTTCACAGCAACGAAGATTTCAGAAGAAAGCTTTCCTTTATAAACAGTTCCGTAGGCTCCTTCGCCTAACTTGTCCGTGAACTGATTTGTAATCCTCTTAATATCTGCATGGAATATCTATACTTGGTTTGAAGACCTTGTAATCCTCTAGAAATCTTTCAATTTTTAATCGATTCTCGTTTTCCTTTATATCATAGCTATAGACCTGATAGACTGCAACAACCAGTAGTAAGAGGACGAATGAACCCAGGGTTGCACCTACAAAACAATCATTAAAAAGTAGATATATATCCCCAGTCTTCTAGACATGACAGCAAAATAATCAGTTAGGTGACTCACTGGTAGCCGCTAATTTCGTTGCTGCACCTGTAAAAGATAATGACACAACTCAGATCGTCATGTTTGTGAAATTCATTTATACATATTGCCTCCTGGGCAACATCCCCTGAATAATTGCCGGCACTTTACAAGATGTATAAAAATTTGAGCAGGAAATATGTGAAGCAAAATATGTACTATTGCCTTACTTGCTTTCTTCAAGTCAACACATTCAATTTCAACTCTGGTGCCATTGTTCTTCAGCATACACTTCTTGCCTCCTGCTTCACATTCTGTGCAATTTGGTGGAGACCATCTCAAAACACTAAGAGATCTGTCTGAATTTGAAACTGGAACTGATAAAACATTATGCATCTTTGTGCAAGACTGGAGGTTATCAATTTCGTAGTTATCATAAACGGCATAGATTTGATTGCCAAGGTTGCTGTGGCAGGGGCCATTTAGAACCTGATCATTATATGGCCGTCTTTCAAGAACAGAAGAACAATTGAATAAGGTAATGTTCATGGACTCTTTTGAAAAGTGGAAAGGGAAGATTGACATGTTGAGGATTTCTGAAACTTTTACTAGCAGGCAATTATCTGAGTCGTACAGAGAGATTTGCTGATGCTCATAATCTATGCTTTTGACAGAGAGTTTGACTGGAATTGGCAGCTCAAGAACCGTTTGATGTCTCTCATTGCAAGACACAGCAAACCCACGATAGCCACAGTGATCTGGTTGCCTATCTTTGAGGCTGAATGGGAAATGGATAGGCGGGCCTTTATCCCCACACTTGAATTCTTTGCAGGTATTTTATGTTTCTCCAAGAACTTTGGAGAAAGCCATTAACAATACGCAACAGGAAGCGATGAGCATTTGCTGCATTTCTGAGGTGTTAAGTGTAAAAAAAGGGTCGTAACTGTATCTGATATGTTTGGATGGATTGTTTGGCCAATAAATCTGACCTTTTTTCAACTGACCAATCAAGTTACGGTGCTATATAATATGACACTTCTAAATCTTATTGGAATGGCCTTGTTAATTATTAGTCCCTATTTACTGCTATTCACACCTCCTCCCTATTTGTTATGAGAAATTATTGTATGGTACTGGAATACGGTTACATAATACTATAATTCGTTCATGTGTTATAATATGGGTGGTTGATATGGTTGATATTAATCAATAAATAACCACTTATTAACACGTAAACAAGGTATATCATGTGATTGTACTCTAATACCATACTATAATTACTTGTCGTTCTGCATCCGTATTTTATTATTTAATAACCCTAATAGATGGACTGCACTATTCACTTGGGTTCTATAAGATTGTTCATTCTTTCGACATGTCGGGGAAAAAATATTGAAAGTAAAAATGTGGAATAAGTAGCATTTTCTTGTAGAAACAGTGTGAATGCATTTAAACCATCAAGAAGCAATTAGTCACTTTGACCAAAACAAAACCAAGTTGAAGTAACTAATTTCACATTTTGACTTGAAAAGTAGTAGAGCACTTAACTTCAAAACATTTTCTTTACGGCGAAGTCCCCATTTAAGATCTAAATAATTGAAGCAACTAATTCCACATTTTGACTTGAAAAGTAGTGGAGCACTTAACTTCAAAACGTTTTCTTTACGGCTAAGTCCTCATTTAAGACCTAAATAATTGAAGCAACTAATTCCACATTTTGACTTGAAAAGTAGTGGAGCGCTTAACTTCAAAACATTTTCTTTACGGCGAAGTCCACATTTAAGATTTAAATAATTGAAGCAACTAATTCCACATTTTAACTTGAAAAGTAGTGGATCACTTAACTTCAAAACGTTTTCTTAACGGCGAAGTCCCCATTTAAGATCTAAATAATTGAAGCAACTAATTTCACATTTTGACTTGAAAAGTAGTGGAACTTAACTTCAAAACGATTTCTTTACGGCTAAGTCCCCATTTAAGATCTAAATAATTGAAGCAACTAATTTCACATTTTGACTTGAAAAGTAGTGGAGCACTTAACTTACAAAACGTCTTCTTTACGGGGAAGTCCCCATTATTGAAGCAACTAATTCCACATTTTGACTTGAAAAGTAGTAGAGCCCTTAACTTCAAAACGTTTTCTTTATGGCGAATTCCATATTTAAGATCCAAATAATTGACGCAACTAATTCCACAATTTGACTTGAAAAGTAGTGAAGCACTTAACTTCAAAACGTTTTGATTACGGTTAAGTCCCCATTTAAGATCCAAATAATTGAATAAAGCTTCAGAGAAAATACCATCTACTTTAATGCCGGTCTTCATAGCTTGCTCTCTCAACGCTGTTTTGACTTGTTCGTCCAGATATAAATTAGTTCTAGTTTGAATGGGACCTTAAAACTATTGGACTTGTCAAACAAAAACCTAGCTAGCTAGCTAGCTCTAGCCTCTGGGATCTCCATGGAAGGTAGAAGAGCCTTGCGTGGGAGGTTTGGAATTGTAGGCTTTCTTGTTATTGGCTTAATATTTGGTGAAACTTGTAACGCCAAGGCGTGTTCTCCTTCTTCCTGCGGCAACATCCATAACATAAGCTGCCCTTTTCAGCTGAAAGACGATCTGAAAAATTGCAGCGATTTTGCCTACTGTCTGTCTTGTGAGAACAGCGTTACAGTGTTGCAACTACATTCTGCAAAATTCCACGTAAAGTCAATCAACTACAATAACAACACAATTCGAGTCGTAGATCCTGGCTTTCAGAAGAACAATTGCTCCTCCATTCCTCTCTATTCTTTGTCATCTGATTCCATAAATGCTCGATCTCCATATAGTTTTTATGACTATGAATATAGTAGCATGGACAGATGGAAATCAAGAGTTGTAACTTTCATCAAGTGTGCGAATCCAGTGAATTCATCTCTCTATGTGAACACTGCTCCATGCATGAATAGTACTACTGGGGGAGCTACTTCTTTGTCCCAACCAAGAACGTATAGCTACGTCATCGTGGGCCCAACAGTTGCATGGGATTTGGAGGAGGGGTGCAGTATAAGGAGGACGGCTATGGCTTCCTTGAATGAAAAACACCGAAACGCTTCTTATAGTCGCATACACAATGCTCTAGTGTACGTCTTTGAGCTTCAGTACAGCACAGGTATGTGAATACACACACCAAGTCTTTATCCAACTGACTCTCGCATAGAATGACCTCCACTTGGTTCTATAATCTTGAGGGTATTTGATTATGGATTTTAACATGATAAATTTAATTACATAATTTTTTTATTGTTAATAAATGCAGTGAAAATTAGTAATTGAAATGATTCTAATACCCATGTACTAGTAAATAGACAGGGAAAAAAAAACACTAAAGTGATTCCAATACCCATTCCTGATAGTAAAGATGATGGCCCATCCCTCTTTAGTGAAGGAGACACATGGACATGAATGTGGTGGGTGGCCCAAGATGGATTACTAAATGAGTATTCTCACTCATGCCATGTATAACTTATTTGGAATGAGTATTGGAATTTTTAAAATTCCTTGGGTTAATCGTTTTATTAGTCTCTGAACTTAAACCCAATTTGCATTTGAGTCCCTCAATTTCCAAAATCGTTCCTGTGGTCCTTTAACTTTAGTTTCGTTAGGACAAATGGTCCTACCGTCAATTTTGTTAACTTTTTCTGTTAAATGCAGGGGCAAAATGGTAGTTTTGTATTAAAACAAAAAAAAAAGAATAAAAAATCATATCTTTAAAATATCAATAAAAGAAAATCAAATAAAAAACCAACCAAAAAAATCAAGTTTGGGGGGTGTAGATATCGGGATAGAGGGGGAGAGAGAGAAAGTTTAATTTTAATTTTTTAATTTTTTATTCATATTTTAATCAATTTGATTCAAAAATACCATTTTACCACTGCATTTAACAAAAAAATTAACAAAATTGACGGCATGACCATTTATCATAACGAAACTGAAGTTGAAGGACCACGAGAACGATTTTGGAAATTCAGGAACTCAAATGCAAATTAGGTCTAAGTTCAGGGACTAATACAACGATTAACCCTAATTCCTTAATTCCTAGTGTTTACAAACAAATATAAGAATTATTCAAATTCTTGACTTCTTGCATTTACCAAAGGATAAGAAATAAATAATTATATGTGGGCTCCATATTAAAATTCATGTATTGTACCCTTAAAACTAGAAATTGGATCGTCTAGGAAGAGTAATTGATTCAATTTCAATTTCGTTAGGATAAATATTTTGAACAAATAATATATTGACATTATTACTTTAAAAGTATTTAAAAATTATCCAGTTGTGACTGTTAAAAAGTGTTTAAAAGTTGGTGGTATCCAAAAAGTTAATGACTTTTAAAAAACTTAGTCAATGAATGACTTTCGTATACTTTTAAGGCTAATTATTAATTTACTAGTGATTTTTATCAACTCTATGGAAGTATTTAAGAATATGTCAACTCTATGAAAGTCACTTAGTTAATTACCCAAAGTCTTTATAAGTATGGATTAAATACATCCTCCTAAATTTAAACACTTAGGATCTGTGACCTTGTACCTAAATGGACAGCAAATAATGTACCAAACTTCGAATAAAAAAACTTATTACTAGAAATTGGTACCTGCCAAAACCTTATTTTAGAATTAATTTCAATTTGGTACCCTGCAGTTGTACGTTTAGGACATGTTTGTCTTTACATTTTCAATTTTAACAATAAGATATCTCCATAGTGAAATTAGGTGATGACGTTTCATTTGTGGGTCCGCTTTTTTTAGCTTGTCTAATGAAATATGAATAAATGTTTTTCAAATTAATTAAAAATTATATTAAAATAAAAAATACAAATAATATTAAAAGATGAAAAAAAAATTATTGATTATTAAACGACACTTGACACATTCAACCCTCAAATGAGACGCCCCCATCATTATGGAAACAGTTGTGTTTGCGCATCCAAACAACGCATTGTTTTTCCCCCTCTATATGTTGTTGAACCACTAAAAGGTGCTCCTCGCTGAAGATCGGCCATTTTTCAAATCATGGTTGCCCCTGTGCAAGCGACCTCAGTGGAAGATAGTTCCCCTGACAAAGAACGTGGGGGCTCTTACATGATGTGCATGCCAAAAAAACAAGAAAAGGAAGAAGAAGAAAGAAGGAAAGACATGCTCAACCGAATAAGCTATTTTTGGCACAACCGATTTTATCGCAACCAAGTGAAGTCTTTGACCATTGGGCTTTTGATAATACCAAAGGAGGCCCAAAGAGTTGCGACTTTCCGCACCTAAGGAGGCCCTCAGGATGTAAAAGGCAGACTAGGCCTATTTCACTTATGATGTCGATTCCAAAAGGATGATGCATAGACCTCACCGCCCTCTGAACGCCCAGCGCCTAGGTGCTTCGTTCGATATACTAAAAATTTGGACTCGCCTACTCTACCACCATTTTCTAGACCACAATACTCAATTCTCTCACCAACGGACTAGAAACAATAGTGGAACTGCAATGGAAGACCTAGAAATAGCCAAAAACAC